AAAAAAAAAAAAAAAAAAATATCTGTGGGAGAGGTCAGATAGGATCCAATAGTGTTGAGTGATAGTAGTGAGATACTCAGAGCGCAGAGCAAAAGCTTTGGGCCATGTTTTGACCTAATAAAACATCTCTGATGCATGACGGCAACAGCAGTGACAGTAACTTTCTTGCGTCTCTGCCCTTCAGCTGTAGCAACAGGAAACTAGACTGACTCCATGTTCTGTTTATGTGCCCTTTATTCAAACTGGATGGAATTATCCAGGCTGTTGCTTTAGACATACATTTCCCTGCTCCCTTAGCTTGAAAGTTGTTACTTAGGCAAGAGGTTGACAACTTTCCAGGTAGGTAATCTTGTGCTTCTAATACTGATCTTGGATTAATATTCTTCTCAAAGGTTAACTACTTCCAATGTTGAAATATGTTGCTAATACAAAATAGGTTAATCCTATATTATAATTTGAAATAAACCTGATATACCAGTAAGATTAACTTCTAGATAATGTCCATTTGAAGTCATTGAAATTCACAGAATAAAAAGGACTTGGACAAGAACAATAGAGAAAAAAACTAAAAAGTGAATTAGAATGCCAAATTAAGTAGATCTGCTTTGTAGAATTTTTTAAACTTATTTTTTTTTTTTGTCGGTCGTGGGGCTTGACCTCTGGGCCTGAGCGCTTTTCTTAGCCCTTCAGCTCAAGGCTAGTGCTCTACCACTTGAGCCACAGCGCCACTTCCGGTTTTCTGGTGGTTTATTGGAAATAAGTTTCATGGACTTTCCTGCCTGGGCTGGCTTTGAACTGCAATCCTCAGATCTCAGCCTCCTGAGTAGCTAGGATTACAGGTGTGAGCTACCGGCGCCCAGCTGCTTTATAGAATTGTATAGCCAGGCACCAGTGGCTCAGGCCTATAAGCCTAGCTAGTCAAGAAGTTGGGATCTGAGGAAAGTGGAAAGGAGGAAACAGAAAAGGAGGGGAGGAGAGGGAGACAAAAAAAAAAGAGGGAGGGAGGGAGGATGGGAGGGAAAGAAGTTTACAGATGAACTTAGACAAAAATCTGAATATTATATTACCTCTACCCATAAAATTTAGATTATAAATATGACTGGATTTCCAAAGCAACTCAGATAACTGCAATGAATCTGAAATAGCTATTACCATGAGGGACTCTGACAAATACTCATAGGACAAGGAGTTTAGCTACACGAATGACAATTCTGTATCCTGAAGAAGGACTGCTATGACAAACTTCACCATCCTAGGCAGATAATGACACCCTAAGTCCAATAGATACTTTTGAAACCTAGGCATACTTAGTATTCTGTTCCAAGAGATTGGCTTACCAAAACCCATTTTCTTTGCCACCTTCTGATAGCTATAACCAAGGTCTCTCCCCGTCCTGACTTTTATGGATATATAGGACACAACATAGTGAGTTTTGGGGTTAACTCCAATTAAAAGAAAACCAGACTCAGGCTATCACAGAAACTGGGATATGGAGGGCAAATAAAGAAGCAAGGAATGGAAATAAAGACCATTTAAGGAGATATCTTAGTCTCCTTCCATATCTCTTCTCTTGCACTTCAGAATGCACATTTAGAGGTAGTCATTTATTTTCTGCTTCACAATGTATGCAGCAATATGTGGTAGTTTTGAAGTTAGCTCTGGCCTAAGATGAGAAAGCCAGATAATGTAGGAATTACAAAACTGTCTTAGGCAGAAACAGATCACAAGGAAAAAAGGAAAGGAAAACCCAGGACATCCCCAGCAGCAGTAAGAAGGAAATAAGGGCACGCGGCTAGGGACAGACACCTGAGTGTCTGTGAGGATAATCTAGTAGTCTCTTAAATATCAAACTTAGTATTTGTTCTTCACTAATACAGCGCAGAGTGGTTGGATACAAATGTATCCCATTAGTATTTTATGAAACCAGGCACAGTGGCTCACACCTATAATCCTAGCTACTCACAAGCTGAGACCTGAGGATTGTGGTTTGAAGCCAGTCGGGGAGAAAAGCCTGTGAGACTCTTATCTCCTATAAACAACTCAGAAAAAGCTAGAAGTGGTGCTCTGACGCAAGTGGTAGAGCACTAGCCTTTTGCACAAAGAGGCTCCGGGACAGCACACAGGCTCTGAGTTCCAGCCCTATTAAAATTAAAAAACAAACTTAAAAAATTCTGAATAAACTGGAGGGCCTTCATTGTATACTTTATAAATGCAGGCAAGAGAATTAGAAGTACAGACTGTAATTGTTAATAGCTACAATTTGATGTTCCCTCTTGTTCTGATTCTCCAGGATTTCTTTCTCATTCCTTGTCCATCGTGGAGTTGAAGTTCATTTATCATCATGTACTCCCTGACCTGTCGGGAAAGGTCTTGGTTGACGTTGGCTCCAGACTTGGCACAGTCCTTTATGGGGTAAAGTCCAGCTTGTGGACATATGCAGCATTTGGAAAATACTTTCTTCTCCTGCTAGCAACAGCTTTCTTTGCCTGCCACCATCCAAGGTGACAGCTTGGTTTTATTTATTAAAAAGTAACAGCATAAGGATAAAGTAGTCTGTAACATAGACAAGCTCCTAATTCTATTTGATGCTTATAGTTGAGTTGGGAATTTCAAAGACCAACGGTTTGGTTCCCTTTACCAGCTTGCCTCCTCAATGCAGATGACAAATGTAAACAAAATAAGCATGTGACTTTTGTAACGCTGTGCTGTTTGCCAGTCTCCAAGGTCTTCTTACCTTTTTTTTCTTTATACTGTGCTGGAATGAAATAGTATGCTAGGCTTTGCTAAGAAACCTTAGAAAACTGACAAAACAGTCGTTGTGCAGCTTTATGGCAAGTCACTTAACACCTCTAGTTCCTCACCTGTAATGAGCAAACTAAACCACAAATCTTGTTCCAATTTTCTGTGAATGTTTGAATGTAGATATCTGGTTCTGAATTACCACTTCAGTGTAGTTTTTCTTTTAAATTCAAATCCTGTGAATTTCTAAGTTCTGAAACGGTTTTATCAAAAAACAACACTGAAACATGGTTTCTGGTTGTTATTAGTAGACATGTTAATACATGTGGCCAACAGCAGTAGACACTCATGATGCCAGAAACCTACACTCAATTCCCAGCAGCATTACCTGCTTTCACCAGAAACAATGAACTCTTCGGTGCTTAATTAATTTTTAATGTTAAAACTTTTATTTTTTAACCAGGTCTTTTGAACACAGGGCCTGGGTGCTATGCCTGAACTTTTATGCTCAAAGCTAGCTCTCAATGGCTTACGTCTTCACCTACATCTTTTTGGAGGTTAATTGGAAGTAAGAGTCTTGTGGATCTTCCTGCCTGGGCTGGCTTTGTACCAGGATCCTCAGATCTCAGCCTCCTGAGTAGCTAGGGTATAGGTGTGAGCCACCTGGTGCCTGGCAGAACTTAAGTTCTACATAGAAAATTTGTGTATTAGTTTTCATTGCTTGCTTTTTAGGTTTTAGTTTATAGTTATTTGTGCTTTTTGGTGGGGAGGGGGTATTGGTTTGGTGTTCATATCGTTCTCTCTATTTCTCTGTGTCTTTGTGTCTCTGTCTCTGTCTCTCTCTCTCTCCCTCTCTTTCTCTCTCTTTGGATATGAGAGTCTTGCTTTATCAACCAAGCTGGCCTTGAACTCCTGGGCACAAGCCATTCTCTGGCCTCAACCTCCTGAGGCCAACTAACTCATTTGTCCAATGTTTTTTTTGTTTAGAAAACAATAGAAATTAGGATTATTGTTTCCTGTATTTTACAGGTGCTAATCAATATTCAGATTTGTTGAGAAAGTAAAATGCTGACATACCTATAATCTCAGCACTCATGAAGCTCAGGAAAGAAGTGCTCAGGTTCCAGGCTAGCCTAGCTGGACTACAAAAGAAGTGTTCTATTAGTATAATGCTAGATAAAATTTCTGGCTATGTGGTTATAGTGCTGGTGTTGATAAATTTAAATAGATTGTTGTTTCTCTTCATATAGGTCACTGATTCAATCAGTTACATATATTCTAAAAATTCTTTTTTTTTTTTTTTTTTTGGTTGGTGGTGGTCGTGGGGCCTGAACTCTGGGCCTGGGTGCTTTCCCTGATCTCTTCAGCTCAAGGCTAGTTCTCTACCACTTGAGCCACAGCGCCACTTCTGGCTTTTTCTTCTTATGTGGTGCTGAGGAATTGAACCCAGGGCCCAGCTCCACTTACAGCTTTTTTGGTAGTTAATTGGAGATAAGAGTCTCGAGGACTTCTTCCTTTTCCAGGGTGTCTTCAAACTTTGATCCTTAGATCTCAGCCTCCTGAGTAACTAGGATTACAGGTGTGGGCCACTGGCATCCAGCCAGATCGTCAATTCTTGACCATCCTTCTTAGTAATTGGTTAGTTAACTTGGCTAGGCACCAGGCAGACTTCCATCAGTCATTGTCCTGACTCAGGTCACCTTCCCCAGTGTCAGACTCTGCATGAATTATCAATCTATTTCTTCCTCTTGTTTGTTTTTTGGTTTGGTTTGGTTTGGTGTTTTGTTGTTGTTGTTGTTGTAGTTGTAGTTTCTACTGGTCCTGTGGCTTGACCTCAGGGCCAGATGCCATCCTTGAGCCTCTGTGTTCAAGGCTAGCACTCTACTACTTGAGCTACAGCGTCACTTCTGGCTTTTTTGATTTCAGATTTCAGCCACCTGAATAGCTAGGATTACAGATGTGAGCCCCTGGAGCCTGGCGTCATTTCTTCCTTTCTTTTGATGTAACTTCTCTAGAAATTGGGTAGTAGAGAAACTGTATGTAATCTTTTTCTTATTTCCAGCTTTGTTAAATGCCCCAGTTTTTTCTCAGGAAAATTAAGAAATCAATCTAAAATTATAAATCCATGATGGGAACTAATAAACTACAACCAAGGCCTTGATTGTAGTATAGCAGAGTTCTAGATGTCATAAGTTTTACATAATCAAGATGTTTCATTTTATATTTACTTCATTGGACTTTTCTTATGTTTGATTTTTTTATTTTGTGTCTGCTTTTTTTTCTTTTTTTGAAGTTTGACTTTTTAAATTCTAGTAGAAATAAACACACTTAAAAGTTAATTGATTTACATCAAAACATATGTTCCTGTTTTTAGGGTTACCTTTACAGTTCAGCTATACAGCTCTATGGAGTAGAATTGAATGGAGACTTTTGCCAATTGCAGGAAATGGTCATTAAAAAATACCAGTTCAGTGACAGAATAAAGGTACGTCAAAATATGTATCATGTTATCCATGTATATCTTTTTTTTTTTTTTTTGATTCGGTTGTGGGGCTTGAACTCTGGGCCTGGGCCCTCTGTCCCTCAGCTCTTCAGCTCAGGGCTAGCGCTCTACCACTTGAGCCACAGCACCACTTCTGGCTTTTTTTTTCCTTTTTGCTTCTGTGGTGCTGAGGAATCGAACCCAGGGCCTCATGCATGCAAGGCAAGCGCTCTACCACTGAGCCACCTTCCCAGCCCTATCCATGAATATCTTAACTGAACTCAATCTCAATCCCTTCTGCATTGCTTTTTAACTTGTTCTGGGTGGTTATGTAGAAACAGACCAGGTTGGCTTTTTTTTTTTTTTGTCGGTTGTGGGGCCTGAACTCTGGGCCTGGGCACTGTCCCTGAGCGCTTCAGCTCAAGGTGAGTGTTCTACCACTTGAGCCACAGCACCACTTCCAGTTTTTTGGTGGTTTATTGGAGAAAAGCCTTGAGCTTTGTCCATAGTTTTGATAGCAACATTTTTTTAATCTCTAGAGATTGGTTAATAATTTATTTCATTAAACTGTATTTGAAAATTTTAAAAAGGGCTATGTAACACTCACAGGTAACTTCTTTATCTAAGCTTACAAAAGCTATTGTGGATACCACAGAATGGTAATAGTTCATGAAGGATGATGCCTTGGGTTAGGTTTTCTTTTTCTGCTATAAAGAAGAAAAAAAATTTAAACCACACAAACAGAAATTTCATTTATTAATGTAAAAGTCCTGTTGTTTGGGGCTGGCAAGGTGTCTCCATGGTAGAGTGCTTGCCTTGCATGCATGAGGCCCTGGGTTCGATTCCTCAGCACCACATAAGCAGAAAAAGCCAGAAGTGGCATTGGCTCAAGTGGTAGAGTGCTAGCCTTGAGTTGAAGAGCTGTGGGACAGTACCCAGGCTCAGAGTTCAGGCCCCATGACCAACATAAAGAAAAAAAAGAAGTCCTGTCCTTTCACTAAGAATCCATTACTTGTGATGATGACACAGAGTACTAGCTACCTCTAATGTTAAGGGCAATCTAATCCTGAAAGACAGCCCGATAGGATATTTTTTTTGTCGGTCGTGGGGCTTGAATTCTGCCTGGGTGCTGTCCCTCAGCTCTTCAGCTCAAGGCGAGCGCTCTACCACTTGAGCCACAGCGCCACTTCTGGCTTTTTTTCTTTTTGCTTATGTGGTACTGAGGAATCAAACCCAGGGCCTCAAGCATGCAAGGCAAGCACTCTACCACTGAGCCACATTTTTTTCTGTGGGGAGGGGTAGGTCATGGGGCTTGAACTCTGGGCCTGGGCGCTGTCCCTCAGCTCTTCAGCTCAAGGCTAGCGCACTACCACTTGAGCCACAGCACCACTTCTGGCTTTTTCTGTTATTGTGGTGCTGAGGAATCGAACCCAGGGCCTCATGCATGCAAGCCACCTTCCCAGCCCTGTGGCTTATAATTTCTATGGTCACCAGCAGCCTGTGATGGGTTATGAAACTCCTTTTCTCCACTTCTGTGATAGGAATAGCTCAGGACCTTACACATTTTAAAGAACTACTCCTCCACTGAACTATATAGCCCCTAAAAAACTTCCTCGTGTGCCTCCCTATAACTATTGCAACTCTCTTCTTTCCTTCCCTTCTCACCTGGTTTTTGCTTACTCTCTCTTTTTTCCCCAGTCCTGGGCTTGAACTCTCAATGTCTTCTTTCTTTCTTTCTCTCTTTCTTTCTTTCTGTCTTTCTGTCTTTCTTTCTTTCTTTCTTTTTGTCAGTTGTGGGTCTTGAACTCTGGGCCTAGGTACTGACCCTGAGCTCTTCGGCTCATACTAGCACTCTACCTCTTGAGTCACAGAGCCACTTCCAGCTTTTGCTATTTATGTGGTGCTCAGGAATTGAACCCAGGGCTTCAGGCATTCAAGACAAGCACTCAACCATCTTCCCAGCCCCTCTCAGTGTCTTTTGCTAAAGGCTAGTACTCTACCACTTAAGCCACACAGTCACTTCCAGCTTTTTCTGTGTATGTGGTACTGAGAAATTGAACCCAGGGCTTCATACGTGTTAGGCAAGCACTCTACCACTGAGCCACATTCCCAACTCTTCTTGGCATTTTTATAGAGTTAATTATGTATAATAGCTTTCCATTCCGTTACTAGATTGTAGTATATTTGAGAGCATATATTTTGTGTCTCATTTATGATAGTTTCTATCTCCCTACATTGTATCTTGCACATAGGAGATACTCAGTAAATGTTGGGAAAATTGGCTGGAAGTGTGGCTCAAGAAGCAGAGTTTCTGTCAAACAGCTGCCAAGCCCTAAGTGGAAACCCCAGGACTGACTCCCTAGAAAAAGAGGTGGGGACTGGGAAGGTGGCTCAGTGGTAGAGTACTTGCCTCACATGCATGAGACCCTGGATTCAATTCCTCAGCACCAATAAACAGAAAAAAGCAGGAAGTAGCACTGTGGCTCAAGTGGTAGAGCATTAGCTTAGAGATGAAAAGCTAAGGGACAGCACCCAGAGCCCATGACCAACAACAAAAAAAAGAAGTTGATTACATTGATTTTTTGTTGTTGTTGTTTTTTGTTTTGTTTTTGTCCCATGGCCTCTGCACTGTCAGTATTCCTTAGGGTTTTCTTAACTTAGAGAGGACACTTCTTGGCTGCCACAATGAATTAAACCATCTGATTCTTTTTCACCCAGGCAGTGTGATGATGGCTGGAGTTAAAATCGATTGAACAGGGATTGAAGAAGTAGGGGAACTGTGAGAAGTAGGATGAACATGTCTAATTAACATCTAGACTCCATTTTTTTTATGAAGGAAAACCACCATCTAAGAGTACAAACCTAACTGGTGGTATGATTTGAAACTAGGTCTTTTGACTCTTACAACTGTGATAGAAATAGAGTAGAAAGGGGCTGGGAAGGTGGCTCAGTGGTAGAGCCCTTGCCTTGCATGCATGAGGCCCTGGGTTCGATTCCTCAGCACCACATAAGCAAAAAGAAATAAGCCGGAAGTGGCACTGTGGCTCAAGTGGTAGAGCGCTAGCCTTGAGCTGAAGAGCTGAGGGACAGCGCCCAGGCCCAGAGTCCAGGCCCCATGACCGGACCCAAAAAAAAAAAAATAGAGTAGAAGATCTATGAACTGAGAGTTCAAAGAACTTTTATGAAATAAAAGGAAAAAACAAAACAATCAAATCTTAGCAGGTTTCTATGTTTTACTGTGGGCATCCCGTAGCCTGCTCTTGCCCACAGTCAGAAGTGTGGACCACTCATGGTACTTCTCCACACTGAGCAGGACCTGGTTCTGATGTGGCATCCTTCTCTCACATGAACTCATGCTTCTGCAGGTGCTTCATGCAGACATCTGTACCCAGGGCTCACTTCTGCAAAATGCTGATGTCATCATCATGAATAACGTCTTCGAATATTTTCTTAATGAGGCACAACAAGTCAGGTATGTTAGTTTTCCCATAAGAAATCCATTACAAAAATATATCCTAAGCCATGCACTGGTGGTTCACGTCTGTAATCCCAGCTACTCAGGAGACTGAGATCTGAGGATCGCAATTCAAAACCAGCCTGGGCAGGAAAGTATGTAAGACTCTTATTTCCAATAAACCACCAGGAAACAAGAAGTAGTGCTGTAGCTCAAGTGGTAGAGTGCTTGCCTTGAGCTGAAGAGCTCAGGGACAGTGCCCAGGCCCAGAGTTCACTGCCCCCCCCCCCCCCCCGCAAAAAAAAATATATCCTAGCTCTGGGCTCTGGTGACTCTCACCTGTAATCCTTGCTACTCAGGAGAATGAGAGCTGAGGGTTAAGGTTCAAAGCCAACCCAGGCAGGAAAGTCTCTGAGACTTTATTTCCAGTTAACCACCAGAAAACTGGAAGAAGAGCTGTGGCTCACTAGCCTTCAGCAAAAGTGCTTAAGGACTGTGCCTAGGCCCTGAATTCAAGCCCTATGACTGACAAAAAGAAAGAAAAATCCAACAAGGTATGTTAGAAATGTTTCCAAATTAAACTTTTTTAAGCCTTAACTATGAGATTTATTTTATTAAGGAAACCTGTTTTATATATTAGGTAGGAATTTTATATATACTTTTCTTTTTTGTGGGGTACTGAGGATTGAACCCAGGGCCTTGTGCTTGCAAGGCAGTTGTTCTACCACTTGAGTCACACTTCTAGCCACAAGGCAAAACATTTTTTTTTTTGGTCGGTTGTGGGGCTTGAACTCTGGGCCTGGGCACTGTCTCTGAGCTTTTCAGCTCATGGTTAGTGCTCTACTACTTGGAGCCACAGCTCTACTTCAGGTTTTCTGGTGGTTAATTGGAGATAAGAGTCTCACGGACTTTCCTTTGGATCTGGCTTTGAACTATGATCCTCAGATCTCAGCCTCCTGAGTAGCTAGGATTACAGGCATGAGCCACAGGCACCCAGCTTGTGTAGATAAGTTTTCAACTCCTTTGGGTAAATCTCAAGGAGCACAATACTTGGATTCCATGGTAAGATGTTTTTAGTTTTAGTAGAAATTACCTGACAACTGGAACTGTAGTTTATAGACTGAGTACTTGTTCAACATGCTCAAGGCCTGTGGTCAGACCCAAGCACTACAAAGAAACAAAACAAACAAGCCTCCTGTCTTCCAAATGACTGCATCTTTCTGCATTCCTACTAGTCATGAATGAGTTTCTTTTGTTCTACATCTTTACCAGCATTTAGTGTTTTTAGTGGTTTCAATTTTGTCCATTCTAGTAGATGGGTAGTAATAGCTTATTATTGTTCTCTAACGTATGTTTTTGTTTTTGTTTTTTTTTAACGTATTGTAGTGCCTGGGAATATATCAGCCACAACGTAAGGAAAAAAGGATCATTATTAGTGACAGTACCAAGTCTTGAAGATTCTCTTTCAGGTCTTCAAGTATGTAAGCCACTTTTTAAAAATTAGTATATAATAACTATACAAAATTTCATTCTGTGTTGCCATACATGTGTGTCTTGAACCATGATTCTTCCAATCTCAGCCTCCCATGTAGCTTGGGATGACAGACATACACAACTATGTCTAGCTGTGGGTTAAAAAGGTTTTATGGCTGGGAATGTGGCTTAGTGATAGAGTGCTTGCATAGCATGCATGAAGCTCTGGGTTTGATTCCTTAGTACCATAAAAACAGAAAAAGCCAGAAGTGAGTCTGTGGCTCAAGTGGTAGAATGTTACCTTGAGTACAGAGAGGCTCAAAGACAGAGCCGAAGCTCTAAGTTCAAGCCCCAGGACCAGCAAAAAAAAAAGGTGGCTTGTGAATTTTTCTGCCCTGGCTAGCATTGAATCACAGTCCTCTCTTTCTCAGACTTCTACATAGAGGTAGAGAAGCATTAGTCATTAGTGCCCAGCATACTTTTCTAGCACTTTCATTGCCAAAGTTTTTTGCTACTGCTTTTTTTTTTTCTTCTGTTACTGGTGTTTGCACCACAGGCCTCACACTTGTTAGGCAGGTGCTGTGCCACAGAGTCATACCTCCAGACCTTTTTAGAACTGCTTAATTTTGAGTTAGGGTCTCACTTTCTACCCAGATGCACACCTCATCTACCACCCACCTATTTTAAGCTTCCTTGTTGGATCTGGGATGACAGACAGACACCATTGCATCCAGCTTCCCTCTGTTGAGATGGAGTCTCACAGAGTCTTCTGCCCAGCCTGGCCTCAAACCATGATCTTCCAATTGCCAAGTTGGCTGTATTTCAGGGGTAAGCCACTGGTGCCAGTATTGACCAATATTATTGCTTAAATATAGATTTTTGGTTTATTTCCTGATCTCAAAAGTCCTGAAATATATATGTATATGTATATATGTATGTATTTATTTTTTATTTTTATTTTTTTGTCAGTCATGAGGCCTGAACTCTGAGCCTGGACGCTGTCTCTGAGCTCTTCATCTCAAGGCTAGTGCTCTACCACTTGAACTACAGCACTACTTCTGACTTTTTCACTTACATAGTGCTGAGGAATCAAACCCAGGGCCTCATGCATGCAAGGCAAGCACTTTACCACTGAGCCACCTTCCCAGCCCCTGAAATGTATTTCACATCTAAATATAGATTGAGTCCCTTGCTTCTCTATTCAACTTTTTAAACTAGGTGGCAATAGTTTTAAGTTACCAAACACTAGCCGGGATTGGGAATTTAGCTCAGTGGAAGAGCATTTGTCTGGCAAGTGCAAGGCCCTGAGTTTGGTCCTCAGCTCTAGGGAGAAAAAAAAGTAAGGAAAAAAACAAGACAACCAATGCTAGTGAATATATCTGTAAGAGACATAACACCCATATCATATCCAGGAGTAGTAGACCACACGTTTAGTTCCAGCTTTGTGAGAGATCTCATATCTCTTTTGCACAAAATTCAAAACCAGCCTAGGTAACAGAGAGAGAGAGAGAGACCCCTTTCTCAAAACAAAAAGCTAAAATACTTTTTAAAATGTCCAGTGTGATAGCTAATCCCTATAATTTTAGCTGTTTTAGAAGTAGAGATTAAGAGGATCACTGGTTGAAGCCAGCCCAGGCAAAAAATAGGGACCCTATTTTAACCAATAAGCTGAGCATAATGTTACACACCAGTCGTCCCAGCTATATGGAAGATATAAATAGGAGGATCAGGCCATCCAAGAGTTTTCCCTATTTGGAATAATAACTAAAGCAAAACTGTTATTTATTGTGTCTCCCATTTGTGTGGAGTAATTTAGTGGTTTTTCACTTGCCAGAATAACAGCTTTCATACTAAATACATAAATCTTTCCAAACAACCATTCGAAATGGCTTAATATTTTTAAAAAGCCATAATATTTAAAAAGAGACTAGGTAAATTCTTGATAACTATATTCTTTTCCTCCTCAAGAGAGCTTTCTGTGCCGTGGTGCCTCAGTTTCTGTGGCAGGGATTTGTGTTTGTGGGGGATGGGTCTCATGAAGGCTGTTCCCACCACTACTGGGGATCTCTGAACAGCCATGCTGTGTTTTCTGTGTACTCCCATTGTTGTTTTAGTCCACTGTTGTTTAAGCCTGATGCACTTATTTCACTCTACCTACTACATGAAAATAATTATTCTATATTTGATTCTCTCGAGTTTCAAAATCAGAATAAACCTGCCATGTAGTACAATTCAAAAGTATTCATGTGGCCCCACAGAATAAAACCTACGATGTCAAGTCCTGTGATAGGATGGCTTTAGGAAATTCCAGAGAGTGGCTCATTGTGCAGTTTTCAATGTTTGTTTGTTTTCTTCTCTTTCCTAGACCAATATAGAGTTATCCCTCTGGGTTGAAGAGGTACCACTGAACTATGAGGTATACCCACAAAAGGATATTGACAGAGAAGCCCTGGAACAAATTCATTTATATAAGATTCTCTAGCTCTAAAGCAACCCCATCTACCTAGTACAGTGTTGCATTGAGTGTATTACAAAGTAATGAGGAGACATGCCAGTATCCTACTAACAATTTTCTGTATATTCTCTTTATACTTTGTATATGATTGCATAGTTTTATATGTATATACATACATATGGATGCATATGTAGGTACATATACAACTCTGTTCTACTTTGTATGATAACATAATTAAAATATTTATTTGGGGCTGGGAAGGTGGCTCAGTGGTAGAGCGCTTGCCTTGCATGCATGAGGCCCTGGGTTCGATGCCTCAGCACCACATAAACAAAAAAAAAGCCGGAAGTGGCGCTGTGGCTCAAGTGGTAGAGCGCTAGCCTTGAGCTGAAGAGCTGAGGGACAGCACCCCAGGCCCAGAGTTCAGGCCCCACGACCAGACCCAAAAAATAAATAAAAAAATAAAATATTTATTTGAAGTTTGTTTTCACTTTTGTTCTGTTAAAAACAAAACTGTGTCAGTCTTGACTCATAAAATCTATAAAAAAATAAGACACTCAAAAAGCCTAGAAGTAGTTTTCTTTTGTGAGAAGAAGGGCAGATTATTCTGTATACTATTATTGTATCTGTTCCATAAATTCCTTACAGCATAATCTGAAAAGACTAAGTAAGATAAGGCTGAAATTGTAAAGCCTACAGTTCTTCACTGAGCCTGAGCTCTGCTCTTTTCCTTTCTTTTTCTTTCTTTCTTCGTTTCTTTTTTTCTTCCTTCCCTTCCTTCCTTCCTTCCTTCCTTCCTTCCTTCCTTCCTTCCTTCCTTCCTTCCTTCCTTCCTTCCTTCCTTCCTTTTTTATTTCCTTTCTTTTTAGTGGTTCTAGGGTTTAAATTCTGGGCCTTCCATTTGCTAGGCAGGCACTCTACTACTTTAGCCATGGCCTAT